CCCATGGAGCAACAGATCCTGTAACCATGACACCATCAGAACTCCATAAAACTATAATAGGCACATTTAAACCAGAAGAAAAATGGCATCACTATTTTGATTCTTCTTGTTGTTGTTATATGCCATCCAGTCATTTCCAACTCATAGCAACCCTGTATAGGATTTCCGAGGAGTGGCTGGTGAGTGTGAACTGCTGACCTTCTGATTCAGAACGGCCTTGCTGTCCAGTGCTTACCCTACAGTGCCACACCAGGGCAGTGTTGATTAGAAAAATTAAAAATTGAATGCAATATCAAAAATGTTATGTAGAACAAGGATATTTTATTCTAGAAAAAAGTGAACACTTAATCCAAAGGGATAATCAATACCACCATTTTGAATGATATGAGTTGTGCTTTGCCCCAAAAGAATCTGCACAAGATAATGTAATTATCTACATAGAAAACCCAGAATAATCACTATACTAATAGAATTAATATCTATGGAAAGAGACTGTGGAGAATCTCAATATCATCAGCCAAAACAAAGCTAAGAGATAACTGTGGAATAGGTCATCAATTGCTCATACGGAAACTCAGGTTGAAGCAAAAGAAAAGTAAAACAATTCCATAAGAGCCAAAATTTGACCAAAGAACAGATTTGATGCATTAAACACTAATGATTGATGATAAGAGAAACTGTGGGATAGGATCAAGAACATCATACATGAAATTTGGCGATTCACATTCAGCAGCTGCTCCTTGGAAACCCTATATTGGTCTCTGTGAGCCTGAACAGATTTGAAAATACTTAGTAATAAGATGGACAAAATGTTGAACGACACAGGAAACATCAAAAGAAGATGGAAGGAATGCAGAGTCACTGTACTAAACTAATTTTGTCAATGTGCAGCCACTTCAAGAGGTAGCATGTGATTAAGAACTGGTGGCATTGAAGGAAGAAGTCCAAGCTGTACTGAAGGTGTTGGTGAAAAACAAGGCTCCAAGAATTGATAGAAGACAAATCGAAATGTTTCAAGAAATTGATACAGTATTGGAGGCACTCATTCATCTATCCCCCAAAATTTGGAAAATAGGTACCTGGCCAATGGATTTTAAAACATCCATTCCAAAGAAAGGTGACCTAACAGATTGTAGAAATCATGCAACATTATCATTAATAGCACATGTGAGAAAACTTTTTGCTGAAGGTAATTTAATAAATATTGCAGCATTACATCAACAGGAAACTGCTATAAATTCAGGTTGGATACAGAAGAGGACATGGAACTGGGGATATGATTGCTGATGCCATGTCGAGCTTGGATGAAAGCACAGAATACTAGAAAAATATTTACTTGTTCATTATTGACTATGCAAAGGCTATTTGGATTATAACAAAGTACGGATAACATTGTGAAAAATGGGAATTCCAGAAGGCTAAATTGTGCTCATGAGGAACCTGTACAAAGACCAGTAGGCAGTGACTGGAACACAGCAAGAGGATTTTGAATGGTTTAAAAATCATTTAGGAAAGGTGATTTTTGCATCAGGGTTGTTTCCTTTCACTGTATTTAGTCAGTCTGTTTGCTGAGTAGATGATCTGGGAAGCTGGATTATATTGAGAAGAATGTGGCATCAGGATTGGAAGAGGACTTATTAATAAATCTGAAATATGCAGATGACACAATCTTGCTTGCTGGAAGCGAAAAAGACTAGAAATACTGATTAAGAACTAAGACTACAGCCTTCAATATAGATTACATCTCAATGTAAGGATGTACAACTGGCATCAAAAATAACATAATGATAAAAGGAGAAAAGATTGATGTCAAAGAATTCAGTTTAATTGAATCTACAATCAACATTCATAGAAGCAGTAGCCAAGAAATCAAAGGATGTGTTGCAATCGGCAAATCTGCTTCCAAAAATCTCTCTAAAGTGTTACAGAGCAAAGAAGTCATTTTGAGCAAAGATGGTTGGCTCAAGCCTTTTTTGCATACAAAACCTTGACAATGAATAAGGAAGACTAGTGAAGAACTGATGCATTTGAATAATGGTGTAGGCAAAGACTTGTATATATCTTAGATTGCCAGAAGTAAAAACAAACCTGATTTGGAAGAAACCCAAATCTATTTTGGATTACTCACTGGAAACGAGGATGGTGAGAGTTCATCACTTGTACTTAGGAAATGTTTTCAGTAAGGACTAGTTCTTGGAGAAGAACATTACACTTTGTAATGTGGAGGGTAGCAAAAAAGAGGAAGACTCCCAGTAAGATGGATTGATACAGTGGCAATAACAGTGGGCTCAAACAGAGCAACACTTGCCAGGCTGTCTCAGGACCATGTAGTGTTTCATTCTGTTGTACACTGGGTCACTATAAGTTGGAACCAATCCAATGGCACTTAACAACAACAGCCACCTTGTATCTTATAACATGCCAAGTCATGATGGTTCTTATGTCTTAAAGGGCTGATGTGTGTGATAGTGGATGGGAATAGGAGCTGAAGGATGAGACTATTTAGGCAGTTATTGCTACATGGGCAGGAAGATGGTTGTTTGGACTAGTGCTATATGAGGAGATGGTGAGAAGCAACAGATTTTGAATTATTCTCGTGAGTTCTGAATTTATGTCCAACTTCCTATGAGGAAGCTCTATATCTATTCATATACTCCAAACATGTCCAGCACTGAATTCACTTTCTCCATACAAATCTTGTTAAATGTCATCAAGTTGGTTCCGACTTATAGCAATCCTGTAAAGGGTTTCCGAGTTGTAGCTGGTGCGTTTGAACTGTTGACATTTCGGTCCAGTGCTTTTCCTACAGCGCCACTCCAGGACTCCACACAAATCTGGTGTTCCATATTATCTTTGAGTATCACTATCATCTGCCCTAGTTAGATACCTGTGAGTCATCTATTGGTAGCTTTGATGTTCCGGATTTCTATCCCCATTGGCATTAGATTCCTTTGGACTCCTTAGGTATCGGCCCAACTAACTCCCAACATTTTCTGAGCCTCCAGTTGAAATATATACCTATATGCCTAAGGATGCAATTAGTTAAAACAAAAAGGCCCTGGCAATACAGGGACTTTTATTTTTTTCTAGTATCTGTATTTTAGGAGACCTAGTAGCATAGTGATGGGAGTCCTGGTGTGGCGTTGTGGGCTAATGCATCAGACTGTAAAGCCATTGGAACTGCATGGTCAGTGGTTCAAGCTCACCAGCTGCTCTTCAGAAACCCTATACAGGGTCACTGTGGGTCAGAATTGACTTGATGGCACTTAACAACAATAACAGTAGCCTAGTACATTACCAGCTCAACTGCTGATTGCAAAGTCAGTAGTTTGGATCTATAAGCCACTCTGTGGGAGAAAGATAAGGCCTCAGAAACCCTATATAGGGTTGTTATAAGTTGGAACCGACTCAGTTTCTCACAACAACAACAAAAACAACATCAACAAAGATTTACAGCCTTGGAAACCCTTTACAGGGTCACTATGAGTCAGGATCAGCTCCATGGCATACACCCACCACTCCCGCTACCAGTATCTTTATTGATAAACCTCACTTCTTAGTGTGACATATGATTATGCACTAAGACATTGAATGAATCTTGTTATTTCAGTCGGAATGTGGAACAGGGACATCGAGGGACACGTTCATCTACTGGACATTATAATACAATTAGCCGAATGGATAGACATCGTGTCATGGATGATCATTATTCTCCAGACAGAGACAGGTAAATATAATTAAATACTATTAGACTTCGTTCTTATCACTACTGCCTTCAGAAAGTGTTACCAGGAAATGTTTTCATCCTGCTTTTAGGGATTCCTTTATTTGAGTTTCTGAAACATTTTTCCTTTAGAATAACCCCATTCATTCTTATGACCATCACATCAAATTTTTTTTTAAAGGCAGTTTTTTTCATTTGTAAGGGGAAAAAATCTTTTTTTTTTTTTGCAATTTTGGTCCTTTCTTAAAAAAAAAACCCAATTAAGTTAGTGAATTTGCATGTGGAGTTGTAGCAATAATTGTAATGAAACACAATGTTTCATTTTCCTTACCTTTTCATAATCAATTATTATAAACACTCACATACAAATATACTTTCATGAGGCAATAACTATAAAAGTCTTTCATGTTTATGAGAGACTTACCATGACTGATATCCATAGTAGTATATGGATATATATTTAGAACAGAGGGTGGTTTGCTTAAGAAACTGCCATGATTCATGAAGAGGTTTTCCTTTGTCGTTTTCAGTAAACATTTTATCCTATGTTTAGAAGATTTCTCTAAATTTATTCTATTAAATGTGATAAAACTGGAAGTAACCTGGTATGTCACAATGCTTCCATTGATTAGTCCTAATATTTTTAAGTTAGGCAAATTGATCAACACTGCTAATTGATGCTTACCCTTAGCTAAAATAAATCTTATAATATTTTCCCCAAGCTATCAAAGAGTTTGGGATAAAGATTAAGAAAGAAAAGTGAATTTACTACTCAGAGAATATTATAATAAAATGTCTCTTTGTATGTATCCTAAAACAATTTTATGAAAAATGATTATTACTTTTTAAATCAGTTAATATGAATGGTTGCTGTCAACATTTATAAATTTAATTATTTTATCTAAATCTAGGTTTTCAATATACTGTGTTTTAATACATTGCTCCAAAAGAAGTTTAATAAATTAGTCTTTATGTGTCAACAAGTATTGACTTTTTGTGCCTGACATCTGAGAAAAAATTAGAAGACACCACATTATTATCAATAGTAGTGTCAAGTGAAAGTTAATATAGTATTTTATTTCTTGTCAGTTGGTTTCATTTCATAGTGATCTATGTCTGTAAGGCTAGTTATAGACATGTTACCTATAGAAGTTGATGTTTATTAAGTATAGTAGTAGTGAAAGGGTAACTATATTGGCATCATTTGGAGTTGGAAGAAGTCACATACTGTGGCTGAATGGGTGTTTTAGTTACCTACTATGATTCTAATGAGCTTAATTTGTTTCTAAAAATTATTCATATAGCAAGTTGTAACTCTTTTTTGTTGAAGTTTTGATCATGAAAATGGTGAGAGTGAAAGCTCTGTTTAAGTCCTTCAAGATTTTATAGTTTTTCCTTTAATGGAAAATTGACTGTGATATTTTATCTAAAAACAAAGAGATATACTCAAAAGCCTGAGGTAATATAATAAAATTCAGCTTACTCCTTACAATTCTATTCTATAAATTACACTGACAAGCAAAAATATTCGTATAGAATATATATATATAATGTTTTAATGATATTTTAAAGGAAAAAATGAACAAGAATTAATGGCAACAAAATTTGCTATTAGATTTTGGTGAAATATGACATTATATTTTTCTCATTCACTTTATAATCCCAAATTCTTTTAGTTTAGCAAAAATGTTCAAGTAGTTACCTTTAGAAATTTTGGGGAGGATTGAGCCATATGATTTCATTATGTTTTTATAGTGATAATTGACCTGAAAAGGTCATAAGTAATTACTCTTCATTGTGAACTGCCTTTATTATTGTTTTTTGAAATAAAGAAAATAAAATCACATTTAAAGAGTAATATAAATTCCTTTTACATATTAATTTCAGATTATGTAATATTATTATTCATCTACATAAGGAATAAAAAATTTTTGAAGTACAGTATGATCTGCCTAAGTGGTCTGTCACATTATTAAACAATAGGTACTTCACTTTGTGTTACATTAATATTCTAGAAGGTTTTCAATAACAGAATGCATCTTTAGGCATTGTAAAACTTATGCATTGTTTAGGTGGTAAAAATACTCTAAAATCATTACAGTGAATTTTACTGAACACTATTTATGGAGTTAATAGATATTGTTGATTATAAACTTTAAATTTCCTTTGAGATATAACTTAGGCATTTTGAAAGATCTATTGACCTTTCTTGTCAATAAGAAGTAATGCACTGGACCAGAATACTATTTTTTTTTAAATGTGCTCTATTTCATAGCATAGACTTTGAAACCCAATGACCTAAGGTTCAAATCTCGATTTTACCATTTGCTAACTGTGTATCTTTAGGTAAATGAACCTGTTTGACACTTAATTTTCTTATCTATGAAGTTAGAATATTAGTGCCAGCTATAAGGGGTTGAACTCCTGGTGTAGCACTGTAAGATAAGCATTGGACTGCGAACCATAAGGTCAGCAGTTCAGCTCCATCAGCTGCTCATTGGAAACCCTATACAGTGTTGTTATGAGTCAGAACTTGACTAGCTGGCACTTAATAACAATAACAGCAATATGGGTTGGTTTATTGCATAGTATGTGTTCATGCAATTTGCTTTATCCTTAATTAACACTTTTAAAGGATCTTACGGGTTTTCGAATAATTCACATTTTAAAGTGCTTTCCAATTGAGAAGAAAAACAGAAAAATCATTTAATTCTAAAAAGAGTTGGGCCTTGAAAACTGGGCAAGTGAGTAAATCTATAGACCCCCTGACACAGCAGCACGTCAGAGAGCCTCAGTATGAAAATGAAAGATTTCAGGGCAGTTTGGAAAGTTGTGCGTGCATTCACTTTGGCTCTTTGGAGTGAGAAATGATGCTATTTGACATTAATTTAGTACCTGGTTAAATTTAACAGATTTAAAAACAAAATTTAGTATTTGTGTCTTTTTCCTTTAGGTACTACAAAAATATATATCAAAATGTAATTGGATCTTTGCTTCTTGGAATATCTCACTTTATTATCCATTGGTCATAACCTGGTTTTGCTTTTGAAAGAATAATTGCTTCATTAACAATAATTCAGAAATCTACGTGTAGAGATATCAGCCAATATAATCAATTCTGATGACATTTTTCTTTTCTTCCCCATTTCTTCCACTTTGTGTACCATTCTTTTTCTGGTAAATCCTGGTAACTGCTATAACTCGAAACATATCTTATCTAGACTATGTGACGCTAATGTATTCCTATCACCTCAGAGATATCCTGCAGTATGCATTTTTATGTCTTTATTTTATTGTGTTTCAGGAACATATTGTAAGATGTTGTTTTTATGTGCCATCGAGTTGATGCCAACTCATAGTGACTCATATACAGCAGAATGAAACACTGTCCAATCTTGGACCTTCCTCACAATCATTAAGCCCATTGTTGCTGCCATTGTGCCAATCCATCTCATTGGATGTTTTCCTCTTTTTTGCTTACCCTTCCACTTCACCCAATGTGATGCCTTTCTCCAGGCACTGGTCCCTCCTGACAATATGTCCAAAGTATGAGAAACAAAGTCTTGCCATTCTGGCTTCCAAGGAGCATTCTTGTTGTACGTCTTACAATACAGATTTGTTTGTTCTTCTAGCAGTTCATGGTACTTTTAATATTCTTCTCCAGCACCATAACTCAAATGCATCAATTCTTCTACCATCTCCCTTATTCACTGTTCAACTTTTGCATGCATATGAGGCTATTGAAAATACCATGTCTTGGATCAGGCACAATTTAGTCCTCAAACTGACATCTTTGCTCTTCAACACCTTAAAGGGGTTTTGTGCAGCAGATTTTTCTAAAGCAATACATCATTTGATTTTTTGACTGCTGCTTCCTTGAGTGTTGATGGTTGATCCAAGCAAAATGATACCTTGACATAATCTTTTCTTCATTTGTCATGAAGTTATTTATTGCTCCAGTGGTGAGGATTTGTGTTTTCTTTACATTGAGGTGCAAGCCGTATCGAAGGCTGTGGTCTTTGATCTTCATCAATAAGCACTTAAGTACTCTTCACTTTCAGCAAGCAAGACTATATCACCTGCACATCACAGATTGTTAATGAGCCTTTATCCAATCCTGATGCCACATTCTTTTTCATGTAATCCATCTTCTTGGGTTATTTGTCCAGCATACATATTGAATAAATGTAGTGAAAGAATACAACAATCCTAGTGCACACCTTCCCTAATTTTAAACCATTCAGTGTTGTTTTGTTGTATTCGAATGGCTGCCTCTTGTAGTTTATGTACAAGTTCCTAATGAACTTGTACATTACAATGAAATGTTCCAGAATACTCATACTCATACTCATACTCATGTTCCACAGAATCAAAAGCCTTTGTATAGTCAATATAGCACAGGTAAACATCTTTCTGGTACTCTCTGCTTTCAGCTGAGAGCCATCTAGCATCAGAAATTATATTCCTCGTTCCACATTCTCGTCTGAGTCTGACTTGAAATTTTGATAGTTTCTGTCAGTGTAATATTGCAGCTGTTTATGAATTATCTTTAGCAAATTTCACTTGTGTATGATATTAATGATATTGTCCTGTGATTTTTGCATTCCGTTGGCATGCTTCTCTTTGGAATGAGCACAGATATGGATCTCTTCCAATCGGTTGGCCAGGTAACTGTCTTTCAAATTTTTTGGCATACATAAATGAGTGCCTCCAGTGCTGCATTCGTTTGTTGAAAGATTACAGTTTGTATTCCATCAATTCCTGGATCCTTGTGTTTTACCAATTCTTTTAGTGCAACAATGAAAGTCGAGGCTTGAATTTTTTCTTCAGTGCCCCAGCTTGAGAAATGCTGAGTGTGTTCTTCCCTTTTGGTTTTCTAACTCCAGGTCTTTGTTTTATTTCAGTATAATATTTGGCTTTGTCTTCTTGAGCTTCCCTTTGAAAGTTTCTGTTCAGTTTTTTTGCTTCCTCATTTCTTCCACTTGATTTAGCATCTGTTTGCTAGAGAGCAAGTTTCAGAGTCTCTTCTGACAACTATTTTCCTTCTTTCTTATCTACTTAATGTTTTCTCCTTGAATAATGTTATTGATGTCTTCCCACAATTCTTCTGGTTTTTAGTCATTAGTATCTAATTCATCAAATCTCTTCTTGAGATAATCTTTAAATTCTGGTGAAATATGTTCAAGGTCATAGTTTAGATCTTGTGGACATGTTTTAGTTTTCTTCAGCTTCAGCCTGAACTTGTAGATGAGCGATTGGTCTGTTCTGCAGTCTGCCCCTGACATTGTTTTGACTGATGATATGGAACTTTTCGACCATCTCTTTCCACACATGTCTCTTTCCACAATAGTTTATGTGCATTGTGTTTGGTGAGGTCCATACATACAAACGTCTTTTATGTTGTTTTAAAAAGGTATTTGCAATAAAGAAGTCATTGGTCTTGCAAAATTCTATCATGTGATCTCCAGCATAATTGCTATCACCAAGGCCATTTTTCCAATTACTGATCCTTCCTCTTTGTTTCCTAACTTTACATTCCAATTCCCAGTAATTATCAATACATCTTGATTACATGTTTGATCAGTTTCAGACTGAAGAAGTTGGTAGAATTCTTCAGTTTCATCATCACTGGCTTTAGTAGTTGGTATGTAAGACAGTTAAACCAAATCTAGTATATGTCATGTAGTCAACATAACACTAACAATACTGAAGACACAGAGCAGGAAGATTCATATTAATTTGGGGTTAGAATCTAAGCTTTTGGAAAGTATAGGTTTACTTAAGGATGGTATAGTTTATCTTTGGAGTGTCCTAAAAGAGACCTTCATCTAATTTAATAAAGTAGTGGAATTATTCACTATGAATAATTTTGTCTTGTCTTTAAATAATCTCTTAGAAAGTGAATTAGTGATCTAGTTTAG